AAAGAACCTTGTTTTTTTCTTGGAAGGATCATTACTTCTCCAGGCTGAATTACTCTCATCTTCTTTCTATTCTGTAGTTTTGACTTTTTTTTGCCAAGGTGAGCCAGAATAACTTTTTTTTTTTCAGAAACAGAAAATCCCTTCCTCTTTTCCTCCAGAGAAACCTGTGAGATGGAACCCTGTTTTCCCTATTCATGAAAGCCCAAGTTCCTGGAGAGAGTTGGCAGAGATGACGACCCTCATCTAGACTTGTGGGAGGGAAAGGGATCTTAGGGGCTGTGCCAAGGATAAGACCTCTTGAAACCCATCATTTTATACTTCTTGTCCTTGTAACTTCTGGGAAATTGTCTGCAACATTCCTGATAAATCACCAGTTTTGGCCAGGCTGATGAGACAGACTGGATGAGCAATCTGCTGCTCATCTCTACAGCTCCCGTGTGGTCACTTGTCTCTGGGGCTCCAGCCACAGGGAATTTGTTCTTTTCTGAGGACAGCTTACCCTCACCTCAGGACTCTCTGTCCTCTCCTGCTTTAGAACTTGTCCTCCATTAAGGCACCTGGGTGGCTCAGTCAGTTAAGCATCTGACTTCAGCTCAGGTCATGATCTCACGGTTCGTGGGTTCAAGATCTGCATCAGGCTCTGTGCTGATTGCTCAGAGCCTGGATTCTGCTTTGGATTCTGTGTCTCCCTCTCTCTTTGCCCCTCCCCTGCTTGCTCTCTCTCTCTCTCAAAAAAAAATTTTTTAATTAAAAAAAAAATGACAGAACTCTGTCCTGTTAGACACACTTTTCCATTGCTTTTTAGCTCAACTCCTAACTCCTTTGTCCCTGCTCAGAGTAAGGAAAGGAGTTGGTAATTTTTCAGAAAGAACTCCATCTTAATCTCACCTCTGAACACCTTGTACCTTGATCTCTATGTTATATAATATTTTGATGTGCACTTTCCTTTCCTATCACTTTTCAGAAGTCATTGTTCTATGTCTTACATCTAGACCAGGTTCGTATTTGGTGTATATTAATTGCTTACTCAGAGGGTTAGCACAGGGTCCAATAGATGGGAGAAAATGGGTTTAAAATTTTAAAAAATATCTTTGATTAAATTCACAAAGGCAAAAGCATATAGCTGTGATGAAAAAAAACATATTAACATCTACTGGACATTCAGTAGATATTAAGCATCTCCAAAAAATTATATTCTCTGTGAATGGAGAGAAAGTAAACAGTAAAAGAGTAACACGGTATGAGAAAATATGAAAACAAAGAAACAAGAGCACTAGTAGATAAGAAGTCCCACCACAGGGCTAGGTATCTACGCTGTGCCTTGATAAAAGGATTTGCAATTTAGAACAGATTTCGGGCTAGGTCTCAGTGTGGAGAGGTGATTTTGAGCTGAGTTTTCAAGGAAGTGATGGATTGAGGATGGATTTTTGCTAAGAGTGAGCAAGGCACATATAAGGCAGCCAGTGTAGGCCGGGGAAGAGTAGGAGCTGGGCTGAGAAGATGAGGCATAGGAAGGGATGTGTCACGTCAACCTAACTCGACCATGATAAAGACTGACTCCAGCTGAATGGCATGTATTTGAGCAGAGGAATGGAAAGATTGATGGATGCTTTAAAAAAAAATCATTCCTGCTGGGATGTGAACAGTGATGAGAGCAGACTGCATGAGATGGATGACAGTATCAGGGAGACTGGTGCAGAAGCTACTTCTGGAATCCAAGGTAAAAGACTCAGTTGGAGGGGACATAATTTGAAGAGAATGCTTACAGGACCTTCTGATGAACCGATGGTGACAGATAGTGATGAGCCTGCCATAGCCTTATGGACATGGACTTCTGTGACAAAATGATTACTTTGAAACAGGTTGACCTCAGAGTTTGAGCTCTTGGGGGCAGTGTCATTAATGTGGGGCAGATTAAACCCTGGACTCTAAGGGGTGGTAGAAGAAGGAGGCTCTTCTACTCAGGAACAGGGGCAGGATCAAGGATGTCTACATTCCTCATAGGACTTTCTCCCCTTATTGTGGAGACACTTTTCATTTTTCTCATCTGTGCCGACACAGAAAGCCTCCATACAATCAGGATGTAGGGAGATAAGGAAACTTAGGATCTAGTTGGCCCTTACCCTACTGTAAAAACTCCACATTTGTACCATCTCCAAGGGGAGTATACATTTGGGCTCTGTATCTGTCTGTCTGTTTAAGGTGGAGAGACTTTCAATGGTGTAACACTTCTCCAATGATAGAATAAAGAATACACGAAATAGGGACGCCTGAGTGCTCAGTCGGTTAAGCGCCTGATTTTGGCTCAGGTCATGATCTCACGGTTCGTTGGTTTGAGCCCCGTGTCAGGCTTTGTGCTGATAATTCAGAGTCTGGAGCCTGCTTTGGATTCTCTGTCTCCCTTTCTCTCTGTTCCTTTCCAGTTCTCTCTCTCTTGAGTGCATGCAAAATAAATAAACATTAAAAAAACACATGAATAAGGAAACATAAGCACTTATATTAGTTTTCTGGGGCTGCCATAAAAAGATGCACCACAAATGGTTGACTTAGGTGAAATTCATTTTCTCACAGTGCTGGAGGCTAAAAGTACAAGATCAACTTGTTGGCAAGGTTGGTTCCTTCCATGGGTGGTGACAGAGGATCTGTTCCATGTCTCTGCTTGCTTTTGATAGCTTTCTGGCAATCTTTGGTGTTCTCTGTAGATGCACCACCCTCATCTCAGCTCTTGTCTTTATGTGGCCTTCTCTATGTGTGCATGTCCATCTGTGTCCCCAAATTTCCCCATTTTATGAAGATGCAGTCATGTTGAATTAAGGCCCGTCATAATGACTTCACATTAACTTGATCATCTGCAAAGACACTATTTCCAAGTAAAGTTACATCTACACATACTGGGGGTTAGGACTTTGACATCTTTTGGGGGAATATAATTCAAACCATAATAGCACTCAATGTGTTTGAAACAGGACAGACTTTATCTTTCTATCTATGGCCTTCATTATATATTGATTCTTCTCTCCCATGACCAACGGCAACCAACGGTTGCCTCATTGGAATTTATGTTTCCTGAGTCTCTATCTTCTCAGGTATAGGTTGTGACCCTATGAGTATATGAACCTGTTCTTTCCTCCCTAAAAACATATTCCTTTCTGTGCCCATCGACCTCCTTGTTGTATGTGCAGGTCAAGGTGAAATTCCATCTACAAATACAAGACTCCCCAGACCACCCATCTGGTCTTGAGGTCTCTATTCCTATACCCCCAGAGCACTGTGTAGCTGTCTAGTTCATACAGCCTTTCCCTCTGTTTGTCTTTGTTAACATCTGTGCAGTAATGAAGAGAATTCTGAAAGAGGATCCTGAGGATTGTATGTCCACTCAACTCTATCTTTTATAATAGAATGACGTCTGTAAATAGAATGATCTGTAAGCCATGTGATTCTATGTACACATGTGAAGAAAGATTCTATGTACACTCCTATTTCTCAGGGATTCTTATATAAGGAATAAATAGGTCAGAGTGACTTGTAAATGGTAATTGGTTATAAAACCATTAGTGACAAAATTACCTCCCTATTGTGATCCTTGCTGTTTCTGTAGGTGTCTCTGGGGAACGAATTTGAGGGCATGGGGAAGGCTCTATGTGGGACAGGTGTGTTAGGAGATAAATTCTTCTCAGTTACTAGAGAACTACTAATAGATAGGAAGAAAAGCTTAAGGGATACCTGGGTGGCTCAGTCGGTTGAGTGTCTGACTGGCTCAAGTCATAATCTCACAGTTCATGAGTCTGAGCCCCGCAGCAGGCTGTCTGCTGTCAGCATGGAGCCTGCTTCAAATCCTGTCCTCCTCTCTCTGCCCCTTCCCACTTGCTAGTGCACTTTCTTCCTCTCTCTCCTTCTCTCTCTCTTTCAAAAATAAATAAACATTTGGAGCGCCTGGGTGGCTCAGTTGGTTAAGCGTCCGACTTCGCAAATGATAGTATCAGCAGTTTTGCTATAGAGAAGTTAATAAAGCAGGTCCTGATGAGAAGGCATAAAAGGAGACTGAATGAAAACTAAGAGTCATGCTGATGTTGGAGGAGAGTGATTCTATGTAGAGAGACAAACAAGTGCAAAGTTTCTGAGGTAGCAGTGACTTCTGTGCTTTTGACATTGAGGAACTGGAGAGAAAGGCAGGGTGGATGAAGCTCAAAACCAGTATGCTAAGTGAAGAAGTCAGCCTCAAAAGATCATATATTATAATTCCATTCTTATTATACATTATAATATAAATACACAAGATTGTAAAATATAAAAACACAAGATTGATGATTTCCTAAGGCTCAAATTCAGAATGGGGTGACTACTAATGGCATGAGGCTTGTTTTCATGTGATAGAAATGTTCTAGAATTGGACTGTGGTGTTAGTTATCCAGTTCCATAAGTTTACTAGAATCATTGCATTGTACTCTTGAAATTAATGCATTTGATAGAAATATTACTTGATAAAATTGTTTTTTAAAAAAGGTCATGTAAATATCAAGAGTGGGATCACTCCACTCAGGAGAAGAGCAGTGCAAAAGCCCAGGGGCCACAGTGGGTTTAGTGTATTTAACAGGAAGGATGTGTTTTGGGATGGGCAAGTAAAGACCGGAAAAACTTATGGGTTGCACAAGGTTCTTGGTAGGAAGGGCTTCAATTTGTCCGTCTACCAGTAGAAGAAGACAAACTAGCAAGCTTGCCCTGATGGGGTGAAATTTATCATGCTACATAAACTGAGAGTGACGTGTTTAAAATTATTACAAAGAGTGCTTTTCATTCTGCTACTGACCTACTTCTCTTGTCTGTTTTCTTCTCTATATTGAATATTAATGTTTTGCCCAATTCCATATCTCTACATAATCAATATCCTTTCTATTTCTGCCTTTCTTATCATGTCCCCTTCAACATTCCAGCCCTACAGGAGTCTGTGAGCAAGAAGAGCCTCAGTTGTCAGGAAAGGAAGAAGCCAGGGGAGCACTGCAATGCATTTTCTAGCACAGGTAAACTTTAAGAGGGAGTTGACCTACCCCATCTGCCTGGAGCTTCTGACAGAGCCCCTGAGCCTGGACTGTGGCCACACCTTCTGCTGAGATTGCATCACTGCAAAGAACAGGGACTCACCAAGGAGGGGAGAGCAACTGTCCTGTGTGCCAGTGCAAATATCAGCTTCAGAATCTCTGACCTAACCACCCTCTGGCCAGCATTGTGGAGAGAGTCAGGGAAAATAGGAGCCCACAGAAGAAAAAGTTCTGTGAGAATCATGGAAAAACACTCTGTGTCTTCTGTAAGGAGCATGGGAAGGCTGGTTGCCAGCACACTGCAGTGTCTCAGGAGTATCACGGTCATCATATATTCCTCACAGAGAAGGTGGTCAAGGAATGTCAGGTAGGCTCAAGGGTGAAAGAAGATGGGGCAGGATGATACCTGAAGTGAATTCTTCACTTTTTAAGCCTATGTTCCTCCCCTTGCCATCATAAAACTGAGCTCTGAAATCTCTTTTCCGTACCCTTTTCTCAGCTTCTGAGACCTAAAGGATATTTCTGTGCATTCTTTCATCTGATCAGAAATGAGTCTAGATTAGAGACCCTTAGCAAAGAGAAGTTGGATGAATGGAGAAATGCTTCCCAAGATAAAATCTGATAGCCGCTTTGAGCAGAAGGGTTTTTTTTGGGGAACATGGCTGGTTGGATGTGGAGAATGCTGTCAATGAGAGGAAAGGAATTTCCTTGCTGCAGGATCACTTCTTCCTCTAGGAAAAGAGAGAATCAGGTTACTCTTGATCAAGGGGTGATAACTTGCAGCACACAGGGATAAAGAATACATTAACCTCTTCAGATATTTGTCTACATAGTAGATTCTAATCATCAGTTTCATTTCCATAACCTAGTCTCTTCTGTGATGAGTCTTATTTCTTCCTTCTATCCAGGTGCTAAGAAAGCTCATAACTTGACTCTGGTGATTCTTTTTCTCATAGGAGAAACTCCAGGCAACTCTGAAGAAGCTGAGGAAGGAGCAGCAGAAAGTAGAAGAGCTTGAAGTTGACATCAGAGAGGAGAGAGATTCCTGGAAGGCAGGAAAATATTTCCTGAGGGAGTTGAGGCAGGAAACAAGGCAGCATCTTAGTCCAGTCACAAGGAGGCCCCTTTCTCTTGGTTACCTCACAATTAATGAGTTCAGAAGATATTTGATTAGTCCTCATTTCATTCCTTCCCTGTTGGAATTGGGTTCCAGAGGGTAGACATATCACAAATAAAACCAAATATTTGGAGGTGAAGGCATAGGACAAAGCCATGTAAAAATGACTAATGAATCTCATGTTCCATATCCATCATCAAGTTTGAGGCACTAATACTTCCAGAAAACATACTGAGAAAAGCCCAGTGTTCCCTATTTAGGAGGTGTGGGTGGAAGGGCTTACTATACAGTGTGGCATGATTATCCAGGACAGATATCTGCAAGCCAAGCCTCATCCAGGTGTCATATTGTGTCTGAGGGTGGGCCCTGCTAAAGTAGACTTTAATATATTCCTTTGGAAGAAACCCAAAGGAAAGTCATGGGGAAATGGCTTTCTCAGTAGTTGCTCACTACCTCATTGAGAAGTCCCTGAGGAAGATAATTCTTGTCTTGGCTCCCAGGCCCAGACAAAGTAGGCCCTTGGCCAAACAGACTGCCTCTTTCTCTTCCCATCCCCAAAGAATCATATGCAGACTGAGAGACAAAGGATTCTGAAAGAGTTTAATGAAATGAAAGGCCTCCTGGACAGCAAGGAGAAGAGGGTGTTGCAAAAGCTGGAGGAAGACAAAGTAAATGTGTTGGATAACTTGGTAGTGGCCAGAGACCAGCTGGACTGGCAGAGGCAGTACTTGAGAGGGCTCATCTCACACATTGAGCATCAGATATGGGGGTCCTCAGAAGACATGATGCAGGTAAGTCTTCGGTTGGAGCGTTTACATGATGAGATTTAGGGGAAACAGAGAGTAAATTTCCTTCCCTGCTGGATTTCTTCATTTTCTTCCTTATGGTGTCATTGAAAGGCTCTTGGGCCCCTCCATACCCCCTCTCTATCATTTCAAAGCTTGGAGGGATAATTCAAAGAATGGCAAAGAAAATTGCCATTGTTAGCAATTCATAAAAGGCAGTGCAAAAAATTTGAAGACAAGATTCTTTTTAACGTTTATTTTTTTTTTTTTAATTTTTTTTTTCAACGTTTATTTATTTTTGGGACAGAGAGAGACAGAGCATGAACGGGGGAGGGGCAGAGAGAGAGGGAGACACAGAATCGAACAGGCTCCAGGCTCAAGCCATCAGCCAGAGAGCTCCTCGACGCTGGGGTCTTGAACTCACTCGACCGTGAGATCGTGACTCCGGCTGAAGTCGGATCGCTATCCATCATGCTCACCCAGGCTTCAATGCTTATTTATTTTTTGAGACAGAGAGAGACAGAGCATGAACGGGAAGGGCAGAGAGAGGGAGACACAGGAATCGGAAGCAGGCTCCAGGTTCAATATCAGCCCAGAGTCTTTACGCGGGCTCAACTCACAGACCAGCGATCGCGACTCGAGCTGAAGTCGGACACTTAACTGACTGAGCCACCCAGGCGCCCCGAAGACAAGATTCTTTATAAGCTCCCCTTATCTATGATCTACCATTTGTAAGGCATCTCTTCATTAAGTTTGGTCAAATAACACAAATCTCTATTTACATTTGATTTTCTTGTTGTTGTTGAGTACTAGACTGTGCAATATTTGTAGTTTTGATTTTCATTTCCCTAATATAGACCTATAATGTTGTGCATCTTTTCATGGGTTTATTGTCCATTTGTATATTTTCTTTGGAAAAGTATCTATTCAAATTTTTCCCCATTTTTTGAATTGGCTTTTTGTTGTTGCATTGTTGTAGTTTGTTGTATATTCTGTGACTAATACCTTATCAGATATATGATTTGCAAATATCATCTACCTTTTTGTGCATTGTCTCTTCATAGTGTTCTTTGCTGCATAGAAATTTTTAACTTTGGTGTAGTTCAACTTAGTGGTTTTTCTTTTATTCCTTGTGCTTTTTTTTGTTGTTGTTGTTGTTATATCCAAGAAATCATTACCAAATCTAATATTGTGAATATTTTTCTCTTTGTTTTCTTCTAACAGTTATATAGTTTTATATCTCAAGTCTAGATCTTTAATTCATCTTGATTTATAATTTATATGTGATGCAAGTCATCTATGTTTAATAGTATTGTAACCATTATATTATTTTGAGCCATTTTGGGGGGAAATAATTTGGTAAAAAGAATGAGGAGATGGCAATCAGTGAAGGGATGGACTGTATGGGACTTTTGTTTGTCCAACCTCAATTCAATTACCTCCCTCTTTCTTTCTTTCTTTCTTTCTTTCTTTCTTTCTTTCTTTCTTTCTTTCTTTCTTTCCTTTCTAGAACTTCTTGAATTACTCTTTGAAGAACCATTCTTACTCCCAGTCTATGTAGTTGGTTAGGGTTGATAAAATCAGTAGCTTTAGGGATGTGTCTCTAAATTCTAGTAAGTCAGAATATCAGATTCTTATGTTTACCAATAATGCAGTAATTATTTTGACATATGCATCTGACCCAATTCAGGTCAAAGATTTTTATGCCTTTGAATTTTACTGTCATGACTAGGAAAGAGAAATTCTCTTTTTCACTAGGTGGTATATAAGGGATTATCATTTAAACCAGGAGATTCAAGTTGATGCCACACAGAGCCTAAAAAGAAAGTCAATATTGCAAGTAGAAAATAGAATTAGAATTTTGAGAATAACAGATTCTGATGACAAGATTTTCACTTAAAAACCACCTATGACGAAATTTACACCTGCCCCTGAATTTATTCATCTTTCTTTTAAATTTAAACCGTTTTATTTGGGTTTTTGTCATATACAATAACAAGAAAAAGCCTAATTCAGAGAGTAAAACTTTATCTGAAATGTAGAGTCAACTGAAGGCCAGGTCTTCATTGGTATAAAAGGGGTTGGGCTGGAAAGAGGGAAACCAAATATATTGGTACATTCTGTTCTATGATGGGAATAAAAAGATGGCTAAAAGATTTTGAGACCATGGACTGGATTGACAATACAATATTGAAATTCAGAGTAAGATATTATAGTTTCTAAGACTGTGACTGAGTATGTATTGGTATCATTTGGGGCAATGGAATATAAACAGTTGGGAAATAGTAAATTACATTTTAGACTTTCTCAGGTTCTGGTTCCTCTGGCTTATTTCGTGCTCAAATATTGATGAGATTACCTATAGGTAACGGAGAGGAGGTATATAGAATGAGTGAAAGAAAGCCAGAGAAACATTCACTTGAAGTGTTTGTTTGCATGTACCCGCAGCAAAAGAAAGTATACTTTTGGAGAACTATTATTATTGATTATTCATCTTTGACTCTCCAGAGCCTGGAATGATGTCTGGCACATATGTGTTTCACCTTTATCTGTCTCTGGAATAAATAAAAGCATAATGAATTAATGAGGTCTTCTCATGTACGTATTTGTTTAAAAATCTCAAGCCTCTTCTCTTCTTTTAAATATATCCCATCTCCAAGCACTGGAAGCATCTTTCTAACATCCTCACATGAGTCCTCAGGATGGTTGATCTGGATCTTATCATATATTCTGTCCTCCACATTCTGATCATCTCTTTTTTCACACCTTAGCAAGGGATGTTAGGGGGTTAAGGTGGATAAAACTTTTTAAGGTAGGAGGGCTTATAACTCCTTGGAGGGTTGCCAGATCAAATCCAGGATGCATAATTAAATTTGAATTTCAGATAAATTATAAATCATTTTTTTAGTAGAAGGATATCCTAAATATTGCAGGAGTCTTGCTTAAGCTAAAGTATATTTTTACTTAAAATGAGAATTTAACTATCCATTTTTATTTTCTAAGTATACCAATCCTGGACTTGACTCATGTTTTCTCTCTTCTCCAGGATTTGATTAATGTCATGAGAAGGTATGTGTGGGAGACCAGGTATGGTCCTTTCTTATGTGAAGACAGAATTATAGCCATGAGAGTTATCTTGGGATGAATAAGAAATTTAAAAAAACCACAGAGCTGGGGAATTGGGAAATTATATCATTTTAAATTTTTGATCACAGGTGAAAGTTTTCAATGGAATTTGGGTGGTGGGAGGTCACACAGTTAGGGCCAGTAAGAGCATGATTTCACTAATTTTAGTCAAACCTTAGTCTCTGCTTCAGCTTGTTTCCATATTTCATAGGTACCTGTCTTATTTCAGGGAGGATCCTATCCTCTATCTTCCAGACCCCCAAGTTTTCCACAAAGGCAGCTCCTTTCATTTATTTTTCTTCCTGAAGATAGAAGAAACAAGGTCTTTCTAGTGGTTTCATTGGGGCTTCGGAAAAAACAAAAAAACAAAAAAACAAAACAAACAAAAAAACCCAACCCCTGTCTTGGAGAACAGTGGCTTTGGTCCTGGTGCCAATAATTAATTTCTACTTGCTTACACACTTTAGTATCTTATAGAAAATATGGCCTTTTTGTGTCTAAAGTGGCCTATCCACATGGCAGCTTCAAGGTCTTCCCAAATACATGAAATTCAAACCACTATTCATTTGGTTGTCATAACTTCTCCTTTTCCACATGTGTGTAATGTTTCCCCAGAGAATGTAACCTCAAATGTTATTCTCTAGACATCTGTACTGGGATACCAGGCTTTGGAGACCCTTCAGACTCTTAACATAGAGCTCCATACTTGATAACCTAAATCCCTCTGTAGTCAGGTTCTGGAGCTTCTTTACTGACCACCTGTCTGGGAACTCACATCTCTGGCCTCTCACTGGTGGAACCCCTAGGGTGGCAGTGACTTCTTCATGTATCAAATACTTGATTTTTTTTTTAGAGGCATCAAATACCTGTTAAATGCATCATTATTTTATACAGTTTTATTATTTTAAGAGGTAGAGAGTATGGGGTTAGTTTCGCCATTTTAGAAGGAAGAACATGAGCTTCATTGAGGTGAAGACCCCTTCTGAAGATCACACAGAGGGCAAATGGAAAGGTAGATGTGAGCAGATATTTCTTCTGGTTGCAGCATCAGGTCTCTCCCTGTTCCCCTCCTCAGGACCTTCAGTGGAGAGGATTCAAGTACATCAGTGGAGTGAAAAGTGGGAGAAGCAGTGGTCTTGCAGAGGTCAGACATGTGGGGTGACCAATTTTGTCTTCTCTAGGAGTGAGAGCTGGATTTTGAAGAGGCCAAACATTGTTTCCAAGAAACCGAAGAGTACATACCAAATTCCAGATCTGAAAGGGACACTGCAAGTGTTTAAAGGTAAGGAGAGTCAGAGGAAGGGTGTGGGTGTCAAATTGTTGTAGTATTGGAACAAAATGGGGAAGAGGATGTGGTTTCTAGATGAGGATAAAAGAGAGGATGTAGGCCTGACAAGCGGAGATAGATATATTGTGTGGAAGATGAGATCATATCTAAGGGGGCATGGTCAAGGTGTCTGATTCATCATTTCATTCACCAGTTGATAGCCACACAGGGCCTCGTGCCTCCATTCTAGTGAGAAGCCAAGTATCAGGGTTTAATCCCTTTGCTTTTAACAACATCATTGAAACTTTTGTCATTTCAGAGCTGACAGAGGTTCAACGCTACTGGGGTAAGAAGGAGTTACAGGTTGTTCAAACTGCCATGTTCTGATCCCTTTTAGAAGTTGTGGTTACTATCAGGTCCCATGATCTTAGCTTCATGTGCTCCCCCCAAACATGCACGCATACAACAGTTCTTAAGTGTGCTACTCATCTCTGACCCATCAACATGAGTTCTTCCCAGTCAGTTCCTGATGTTCCACCTCAAATGTCACAAGACACACCTGCTCTGTATCCTTCACCCAACCCTGTCATTTTTCCCACAGTGGACGTGATGCTGAAGCCAGTCAATGCTATTTTGAATATTACCATTTCTGCAGATAAAAGACAGGTAAAAGGCATACAAGATTTCTCTCTTCAAAATATACATCTATGTAGTTTCTCTCTTTTTGATGTCTTGGGTTGCCAGCATTTCTCCTAAGGGAAGTATTACTGGGAAGTAGATGTGTCTGAGAAGATCGCCTGGATCCTGGGGGTGCACAGTAAAGCAAGAAGCCCCAAGAGAAAGGGGAGTTCTGGGTTTGTTTTTGATCCGAATGTATATCTTCCAGATGTTTGCTCCAGATACAACCCTCAATTTGGCTACTGGGTTATTGGGTTACAGAATGAATCTGGTTATAAGGTTTTTGAGGAGTCTTCCACCTTTGATCCCAAGGTCTTGACTCTTTGCATGACTGTCCCTCCCCGTATTGGGGTTTTCCTAGACTATGAAGCAGGCATTGTCTCATTTTTCAATATCGCAAACCATGGGTCACTCATCTACGAGTTTTCTAGATGTCAGTTTTTTCAGACTACTTATCCATATTTTAATCCTTGGAATTGTCCAGTCTCCATCATCCTGTGCCCACCAAGCTCCTGAACCTCTTGGCACCCCCCTCACTTTTGTGTAGTGCTCCTTGTCCTTGGGGCTCATCTCCTACACCTGAGCTCATATGCACCATTCTGAAACCTCTTCCTTCTTTTCTCCATCTTTTATTTTCGAATGTCTTTGGAAGAGTCTGCTAGCACTGCTGTAACAAATTACCACAGAGTGGGTGGCTTAAACAACAGAAATTTCTTGTCTCACAGTTGTGGAGGCTGGAAGTCTAACACCAAGGTGTCAGCAAAGTTGGCTTTTTTCTGAGGGCTGTGAGGGAAGGGTCTATTCCTTGCATTGTAGGTGGCTGTCTTCTCTCTGTGTCTATTCATATCACCTTCCCACCGTTGCATGCCTCTGTGTCTAAATCTCCCCTTTTCTAAGGACACTAATCAGATTGGAGCAGGGCCCATCCTAATTACATCATTTGACTTAATCACCCCTGTAAAGACCCTCTCTCCAAAAGATCACACTCTGAAATATTGGGGGTTAGGATTGTAACATATGAACTTAAGGGGAACACAAGTCAACTCAACAGTCTTTTGCATGTCTTTGCCATGCAGCGAAAGCTTTAACCTTTTTCTACATAATATTTTGTTCTCAGTAGGAAATAATATTTTTTTTCTTATTCGTTTTTGTTTATTATGAGGAGAGGATGCTTATTTGCAAAGGGAACACATGTAATCCTTTCTGTAGAAAGACCAGTATTGCTGTACCACATCTGACATCTCTTTTCCTCATTCCCTCTGCTGTTTAATGGAATTAACAAGGAAAACTTATCAATTCTACCCCTATACATAAGACTTAGGACAGTGCATAGGAATCTGTCATTTGGTAGTGAATCCTTCAGAGTGTGTTGCTTTACAATGGCACCCCTTTATATGACGGAGTTAAAGCAGAAGTGCACAAATAAAATATTTACCAAGAGTGGATTTTTGGTGCTCAGAGTTTCTGAGGTCAAATCTCATGTCTTTACTTACAAGTTGTGTAAACTTGAACAAGTTACTTAGCACCTCTTGGTCTCATTTTCCTAAAATAAAAAATTCATGTTAAAGATTGTACCTACTTCCTAGGGTCACTTTGAGAAACCAAATTTTATTAGATGTGAAGCACTTATCTAAGAGTCTTACATGAAAGAGTAAACATTTGTTATTGCTGAAAAAATATAAGCTGTATTAATGAGGAACAATTTTTTGTTTTGTTCTGGTTTGGTTTTGCTTTAATAAAATGATAATTGGCTCACTGAAGTCTCATTTCCCAGATTCCAAAACTCCACTGCAGACAATATGAGTTTTCATGTTGTGTCGTGTAGAGAGCGTCATGTCTAGGCTCAGCTGTGCTGATGAAAGACAGCCTTCTGGTGTTCAGTCCTTGTCCTTGTGGTGCAACATCTGAGTATACCTCTGCATTTACCACCCTATGCACTCTTCTTCTCCTTCTCCTCCTCCTCCTCCTCTCCCTTCTCTTCCCACTCCCCATCTCCTTCCCCCTCCTTCTTCCTCCTCCTCTTTCTCTTCCTCCCTCTCCCTCCTCCTTCTTCTCCTTCTTTTTCTTCTTCTTCCTCTTCTTTGTCAGAATATGAAATGAAGAATAGAACTACCTAGGATAGTGAAGACACAGATTGCTCTTTGAGAAGCATGCATTATAAAATAGAGCAGACTATGCCACTGTATAAAATTTGAATCAAGATTCACAGGACTTTAGAGAAAGATGCATACCTTGGCCATGCTGGATGAAAATGAAAGTGTCTGGCATGGGATCAATATTTATATGTCTGTCTATATACACACATGCATACACACGCATGTCCACCTATGGGTATATATACCTGTAACCATTTGTATAAATACGTGAATATATATTAACATCATTCTGGTTAGTCTTTACAAATATCCTAAGAGGAAGAAATTTCTATCAGGAGATTAAAAGGGTTTACAAATGGAAGAAAAAATTCTAGAAGTTTGTAAGCTGTTAGAATTTTTCCCTAAGGTTTCAAGGCTAATGAGTGACAGAAGCAAGATTAGTACCAGCTGTGTGCTACTCCTACACCTGTGTGCTTTCCTCTGCACCACACCACAGAGAAGGCAGCAACTTGACTCCCAGGGATATGGGGAAGGAGGGAGAGCCAGAAAATGCTGTCTGCAGGAGGAGCCTGGCCATCTTAGGGCAAACCTTAGGTGCCATGAAATTCAATTTGATATGCTCAATCCATATAGCCCAAATGAGACAGTAGTAGGTCATAGATAATATTATGCTGAGCTTCTTCATGGCCACCATGCCACTGTGGATGACATGAAGAAAATGTCCCCACCTTTTAGTGTAGACGGTGAACACTATAATTGGACAGTTACAAAGCTGGACTCTGAAAACAGACCAAATTTTGTGTAATGATGATATAATCCCTTTGTGGCCCTTATCTAATTAACTAATTTTTATTGGATTCAATTTTTCACGTATAAAACAAATAAAAATAGTAAAACTTTCCTGATGGGGATGTTGTAGAAATTAAATAAGAGGTTAGTTGTGATAACCTGCTGTTTTCTAGCATGTAAGCATTGACCCAGAGTGTGCCTATTGATGCTTTTTATTGGTTTATTTTCCGACTTGAAATAAATGATTTTAAGAAAGCACATTCATTCATTTTAAAATAGTTAACTTTGCTTTCAAGAAATAGGATAGTTTGAGTAAAGAATCAGTGTTTTAAATTTTTTTCTATCCAGTTAAAATAAATATTACATTATTGTAAAAATTACTTCATTCTCATCCCCTCCTGTAATTGTAATAGCCTCTTTAACTTAATAGACTACACAAAATTGTATTTATTTTCTCCTGCTATGTAACAAACTATCACAAATTTAGTGGTAGGTTTAGATTTTAGGCTTAAAAGAATACCCAATTATTATGTCATGGTTTCTGTGGATCAGGAGTCTGGGTAAAGTTTTTCTGGGTTCTCTCCTTTAGGGTCTCACCGGAATACACTCAAGGTGCCAGCTGACATACAGATGAGAGCAGGGAAGTGGCCTTATCTAAACTCTTTTCAGATGTAAACAAGACTAGGAATTAAGCAGACCCCTGTCTCTAGTAGGGACCAGATGCTCTTTGCCAAGGTTAGAGTTCAATGAGAAGATTAAAGAGAATCGCACTTTTTAGGCATTTTATACATCCGTGCACTGGTTACTGTGATCCCTTATTCCCTGACACCAAATGATGAAAAAACAGACACTATGCTCTGATTTGGGGTCTGAAGCCACCACCATTTAAAGAAAAAACTATTCAGGACACTTGTTAAAGATGTAAGGTAAGGAGGACTTTATTCTAGGGGGGCTGCCAGAGTTGAGCCAGAGAGATTGGCTCAACTCTGAGTACAATAAAGAAAAGTGGGGATGTAGAGCCAAGGAACAGGGTCAGAGGTTACTAGATGGGATACTAAGGGGCCTGAGTTCAGTTCAGGAGAGAATCTTTGTCAGCACCCAGGCCTTTGCCCAAACCTGACAATGGGTAGGCATCTCTGGGCCCCTACAAACTTCTACTGTGATGCCCCCCACTGCTGAAGGTATTATTGATATTGTTAAATTGTCTGTGTGCACCTTTGCTAGTCTTTGCCCCTGAGCCATGTTAGGGATATTTTTGTGGGGCATGTGGAGGACTGTAAGCCAACATGATTCCTGGGCAATAGTAAATGGCCAGGCTATTTGATTGGGCTGCTAGAGAACCTGAGCCTGGCATATAAAACAAGTTTCCCTGTGGAGATGGAACAGTTGGAGAAAAATTAGTTCTGCTCCTAATAAGTGTTTGTGATCCATGTGGATGCTCAGCAGAGAGGACCTACACTTGGCCAAGGAAACAATCAATGAGCAGACCATGATTGTCAACTAAATGTGGAGACTAAAAGTGTCTTCTACCCCAAAGAAAACAGGTTTGTGACCAATCTTCTCTTGAATTCAGGTGAGGATGGCCTTGGAAAATCTAGAAAAAGCCTACATGCACAGACTGCCACTGTCAGAAGCAAATACTGAAATAGTATAAAAAGCTTGTCCCTGACTCTGGTCAAGGCTAAAATCACTGCCCAAGGACAGAATCCCCAAACTGCCCAAGGGCCAAATATATTCTTGGCCAGTAGAACATCCTGCCTAACATCAAACCCCTTGTCCCATCAGAGCTCTCACTCAACCCTGTCTACAGTTGACTTTCTTTGTATTTGTCCTAGCACTCCCATGCATTCCACTGACTCAAGCCATGGTATCCAGGCCCTGCAAGGCCATATTTGTTTCCTGTTAGGTTTCCTGAGCACTTTGCCTCTGATAATGGCCCTGGATTAGCAGCCCAAGCTACAAATCAGTGGACCTAATCATGGGAGACATGGTGGACTCTTCATGCTTCATGCCACACTCAAGCCACAAAAGAAACTGAGTATTTTAATGAACAATTACAGGATGGAATTTTGCAGCTGATGAAGAGATAAGACAACCCCAGCCTGGACCACACATCTCAGACAAACAATCCGGGTTCTCAAAGCAGCGATTGCCCTAAAGGACAATTCTCACTTGCACCTCATGTTTGATCAGGATGTCTGCTCCCTTCCTTCAATTGTACATCTGTCTTTTATAACTTTGACATTTCAATATTTGTGGAAGACCTTGCAAAGGCTTTCTAATCCCTTCAACCCCTTTCTAAAATTTATTTATTTGTTTTGAGAGAGAGCAGAGCCTGACACGAGGCTCAAACTCACGAACTGTGAGATCATGACCTGAGCCAAAGTCAAGAGTCAGACGCTTAACTGACTGAGCCACCCAGGCGCCCGTCAGCCCTTTTCTAAAGATTCAAATAAGTAAGAGATTAACATGACAGCAAGGGATGAGAGATCCAAGATTTTTGTGCTAACCAATTCTTCAACATGATGTGTCTTTCTGATTAAGTTGTACAAAAATGTTTTCCTGTATAAATGCTTTCACCCTTCTTGCATATAGTCCTTCTAGACTAAAAGGTTTAGATGAAAATACAGA